GACACTGGCTAATGTGGAGACTGCAAACTGGGACCAGCCGACACACTGTGGCTGCTATCGATTTTGTTCTCAGAATTAATTGCCGACGTTTAAACACTGGGAGGTTCCGGACACACAGGGAGAGACTAGCAGTCTGGCCGGGAGCTCACATTCGTGCGGGGGGACAATCTGCTGCTGGGGGCAGGTGCCCCGGGAGACGGCGCCCGCTCTCCGCGTCGCCGCAGCCCCCCCACTCCCTACTGCCTCAGGCCCGGCAGCTGCCCCCAGCCACTGGCCCCAGAAAGTGGATGAGGACTGAACAGCCCATTTTACAGATGATCAGCTCAACCATAGAGGCTCAGGACTGGTCTGGGGCCCGAGTGGAGATGCCACCCAGTGCTCTCTGCCCACAACACCTCGACTGACCGACAGGCCCTCCATCCCCCGAGGGCATTCAGCCGAGGCTGGCACCGTCCCCTGGGCCAACACACACACACACACACACACACACACACGAGCCCTGGTGTGAACACACAGGGCACACACCACCATTCGTGTGTAGATATCTCCACCAGGTGGCAGCAGAGAGCGGCCTTTACCTGAGCCCCATGGTGCTGCCTCCACCTCCCAGGACCAGGACCAGGACCAGGACCAGGATGTGGGGGTGGGGGCCGCGGGCACAGGCGGAGGTGGATGGAGAGGAAAAGGCGCCCCCTCGCCTGAGAAGCAATTGAGGGCCCGGCAGCGGCCAGCCTACCTGAGCCCCATGGTGCTGCCTCCACCTCCCAGGACCAGGACCAGGATGTGGGGGTGGGGGCCGTGGGCACAGGCGGAGGCGGACGGAGAGGAAAAGGCGCCCGCTCGCCTGAGAAGCAATTGAGGGCCCGGCAGCAGCCAGCTGCCAGGAGGGGTGCCCATTAGCGGCTTTTATCTCCCCACCTCTGGGTGCCCGCTGCCAGGAAACGCTCCTCCAGCGTCTCCTCCCTGATTAACTCCTCCCGTGCGGGTCCCTTGGGTGTGAACCCAGAACCAGGAAAGAGACGGGCCGAGGGGCCTGGAGCCGGGTCCTGGGGCACAAGGCGGGGTGGGGATCAGCGGCTTCCGCTCTCCGGGCCTCAGTTTCCCCATGAGGCTGACTACCAGTTCGTTTCCTCCACTGAAAAGACCTGGGCAGAGGGAGGGGGCTTGCATACCTGCCGGGACGGGGAGCTCACTACCTCTGAATGTACTACGTCCCGGTGGCACCCCAGCCCTGCCTCCCTCCTCCCCGACCCTGGGCCTCCTTTTCTCTCGAGGGGCCAGGAGGGGAGGGCCCAGGACCCTTGGGCGTCTTGCACCCCGTTTCCTCGCTGTAACAGGAGAACCAGCCCTTCCCCGGCTCCAGCCACTCGGGGCTGACGGAAGAGGCACATGCTCCCACCACGGCGTCCCGTCTGGCTGCCCTTTGGCCCAACCCTGCTTTTCTGGACCCCCGCCCCCCTCCCTGCCTTGACCCCCTCCAGAAACTCCAGGGTCTGCGGCTGGGAGGACGGGCCAGGCCGGGCGGGCAGGTTCCCCGGACGCGGGATTAACAAGGGGACCTCCTGTCTGCACATCCTGAGCGAGTCATCCGAGGGGACTCCAGACGTGGTGTCCCAGCCCCGCACCGCACGGCCTCACAGGTCCTCTCCCCTCCGCGTCCCCGGAGCAGAGCCCGTGGGTGGGGGAGGGAAGCCACGCCCCCGCCCGCGGCCCCGGGGGACAGGCTCACCCTCATAGGACAGCACGTGGCCCTTCTTGCCCTCGTAGATGACGTGGCCCTTGGGCAGGCTGTCCTCCCGCCCGCGGTCCAGGCGGCTCGGGCTGTCCTCGCCGATGATCCGGGTGATGGTGCCCTTGTACAGGACGTCGGCCGGAGTGCCCTAGGGGGTAGAGGGGGAGAGCACGTGTCCCCGCGGGCCCTCCAAGTCCACCCCCGTGTCCAC